ATTTGGCTGATATACATATATATCTATCAGATGGCTATATATATATATATATATATATATATATATATATATATATATATATATATATAGAGAGAGAGAGAGAGAGAGAGAGAGAGAGGTACATATATATATATATAAAATTATATATATATATATATATATATATATACCAGTTGGCTGATATACATATATATCTATCAGATGGCTATATATATATATATTATATATATATATATATATATTTTTTTTTAAGGTTATACGGAGACAAAAGAAAGGAAACAATAACTATTTAGTCAAATTTGATCTGAAAATCAAACTAATTCATTTACAGATCTCTGATTTGACCTTTGACCTTGTAAAGAAACATGTTTATTTTGACCTTTTCTGCAGCTTCACTTCCTCAGCAGATAAAAGTGAAGATGAACGATCTCTGTGGACGCACCAGACACTGAGCGTTATTTGATTCACGTCCCCCTGGGTGTTATGATGGGCAAATAATTGTAAGTATTTGTTTCATTCTCTCTCTCTCCCTCTCTCGTTTTTTTGGCGTGCATGGGGAAATTCTTAATACCTTCTGGAGATTATACGGTAACTCCCAAACTCCCATGATTATAATTAAGCCTGACTTGGTTGTAAAATGAGCAAATAGCAATTTAGCCTTGCATCGTGTGAGGGGAGCATCTCTGTGTGTTCCTACATCTTCACGATACTGATGAGCGTGTGAGTTTCAGGGTTCACAAGCCCTTTTTTTGTCTGACGGTCGATCAGGAGAAAGTCAGGAAGAAAGAGCATCCATACTGGAATGTTTGCTCAAGCAGGAAGACTGGCTCTCATCTATCTTCTGGTAAGAATAGAAAACAAAAACAGAAACGTTACCCCATCCTCTCTCTCTCTCTCTCTCTGTATCACTTACAAAGGCAGCCGTTTCCTCCAGAATGAGGCCACGTATGGAAGGTATGCAAATGAAATCACTGCTCGTGGATTAGAACGGGACACCATATACCCTAAATCATGATTGTCAATCATGGCTGGGGATTAAGGGATATGGGCTTGCAGACCTAAAAAAGCAACCCCCCTCCCCATCAGGCAGATCCCCATTGTGAGGAGCTCTGAGGAAGCGAGGGCAACACTGGAGCACTAGTGCCCCCTTCTGTCTGACGCTCTCAGACTTGTTTCATCATCAAACGCAGTCGGGCTGAACAGAAATAGAGCCTGGCACACACACACACACACACACGCCTGTTCACTTACATTTGACGTAGCCGCAGGCCAAAGCTTGATTAGACAAATGCACACGCTTTGGTGATGCAGTGCTTCATCTTCAGTGGAGAAGAGAGAGACCTCGTTTGTTTCTCGGTCGTGGTTCAGCATCAGTGGGTTAGCAGGGCCACGGGCCTCACGGATCTAACAGCTGCGAGTCAAGTCGCTTAACAACAGAATCAATTTGTTTTTTCTGCTGCGTAACCTTTCATTTTCACAGTATGTGGTGTGCAGCTCACTGCGACACATTTAGAGCATTATTTAACTCCTGCATTTTATTTACACTACTAATATTAGGTTTGACTACAAGTATAATAATGTCACATCCATACATTTCAAATATGTCTCATAAAATGTGCTTAATGTTGCTGTAGATGAGTCACACTGCAGACGTGGATGGTGGATTGTGCATGCAAGACTCTGGAGCCCTCAGCTAGAGTGCCAGTCTGTTCCTGTGGAGCAGTCAACCAGACAAACCCAGCCAAGAGAGAGCAAGGCGCAGGCACCGAGCCAGGAATTAACCCTGGAAAACACTCCTCTACCGGCACAGAAGTGTTTTTTTAATAAGATGAGAAGATTTAATTTATTAAAAAGGACAACTAGGATGCCTGGTTGCAGAAATGAAAGGAGAATACTGTTACAGACAAGATAAAGGAGCAAATAAAGTGATTTGTTTAGATTAGAAGCTCCCTGCTACTGAAGACTGAAGGTGAAGTGACACCTGTGTCTTTTTGGCCCTGGCGTTATATGGGCAGGAGGTCAAGGCCAGGGCAACATCTGCATCACATTGGAGGGCCTGGCTCTGTGCCGGCACCATGAAATCCTAAAGAATAGATTGAAATAAAAAGGACCGTTTTAATGAATCACCTTCAGTCGTTTGGTTTATTTTCACTGAGTGGTCCTTAATAAAACCCGATCCTCTTCCATTGTGCGTCAACCTGAGTCATCTCCCCGTTAGAACGTGAAACAAAACCACCAAAAACAAGACGTGAGCCACCAGCACACTGCAGAACAAATCATTATACATCATTAGGTGAAGATTTAGAATAAATGTGTTTAGCAGGAATTAAGCAAAGCTGCTGTTGACATGGATTGACTGCTGTAATGCTTTATTGTCAGTGCTCCAGGAGGCAGAGAGAGGCCCAGCCTGGTTGGGCGAGCAACAATGCGCCGAGAGCAAGGATTTATGGGATGTGAGGAGGAAGTGGCTGAATGAAGGAGTGGACAGACAGGAAATCAGCGTTGATGGTGTATTTGGTGCAGAGGTGTCAAAAGTCGAAGAAGTTTTAGAAATCAAGGTTAAAAATGACTTCTGTAGATGTTCAAGCTTTTTACTTGAGTAAAAGTAAAAAAAGTACTTCTTTTAAAATTACTTTAAATTTTAAAAGTAATGCAACATGGTAGTTAACCCAAAAAAATGTATTAAAGATCACCATGACTTTAATATTAAATTAAAAAAGTTAACCATGACAAATTTGGGAAACACTGGGCTTCCTGTTTCAGCAGCACATCAAACATGAATGCATTTTAGTGTAAGGCAGTTACATTAAATCCTTTTTTTGTAATTTGTAATTTGAATTGCTTTTATTTTTGATTTGTACTTCTACTGTACCATGTTCAGCGCCTTGGGCTTCCTGACAGGGTTGCGGAAGGCACTTTATAAATAAAGCTTTGATTGATTGATTGATTGATTGATTCATTGATTGATTGATTGATTGATTGATTGATTGATTGATTGATTGATTGATTAAAGAACCAGATGTGAAACCATCAGGGCGCCAGAAAAATATTTGTTTAAAATTATTATCCAACTGCATTCACATTCACTCAGGATGGCACAATTTATCTGGAGGAATACTTTTTTAAATTTAAGAGTAGAAAGTACAGATAACTGTGTGAAAAGGAAATTAGCAGAAGTAAAAAGTTGCTAATAGATAATTACTCCATGAAGTAAAGGTACTCAAAATTTCTACTTAAAGGTGCACAAGAATGACACCCTGTGGTCACATTTGGGTACTACAGTCCATGTATCAAACAAGCCCACTGTCACACAAATGTTGGCGCAGACTTGGCAACCCCACAGGCTATGGCTACACACACAATCATTAAAAAGCCCTTTTTATAAGACACACCATGTTGGTGAATCAGCGTAATACCGCTGCAGCTTTCTGTCTTATGAACGCATCGTGGGGGCACGGCGACGCGGAAATTCTGCATCATTCATTCCGCCAAGTTTGGTAGTAATATTATCACAACGCCTGACTCGTGAATGCATGTTCTGACTTGGCTCAACAGAGGGACGTGTCATGATCACGTGGCGAGTTACCGCCGAGCTACAATATGGAAAATGAACGTAAACACGTAAGTTTCTCTTTTGTAAACAGAACCAGCGGAGATAATAAACCGGAGCGATGCAGAGCTGCAGGAGTTTCGGTCTGTTAGAGCTGGAGCTCAGGTCACCAACAGGGACTGTAGAGGAGAGGAACCTTTAGGAGCGGCTCGTAAATAAACTATTGTGGCTTCAATTGCAATAAAAAGCAAGTTTTGTTCAAGCTAAAATAAAGTCTTTCTCAGCGCCGAGACCTCCCCCAAATCCCCGCGTTACCGCCATCACCTACTCTTTTATAAAGGTACACAATTGTGCCACATTACCGCCACGGTCTGACCACTTCTAAACAACCTAGGGCTCCCAGATGTCGGCTCGGCTTTGCGGCTGTTTGATTAAATCTGGCCTCTACCCAGCCAGAAGGAAATCTGGTTCAATCTAACCTTCCTTCCAGCTTGATTGAGACTTTTTTGTGATTATTTCACTGTAAAAGTCTTACTTATTGCACCTTTAAGTAAAGTAAACCATGTATTTGTACTTCCCTACATGACTCCTTTGATTTGGTAGCTTTCTAGGATAGCTGACCTCAGTCTGAGCCACGCTCGTCTTCCTGCTCGGTCTGTAGTTTTTATTTCCTTATGCTTCCAAACGCGCGTACAAGAGTTTGTTCGGAATGACGAGTTAAAGAGGACGGTCTTATCCAGCTCTCCAGTGTTGACAATATTACTAATCCCCTCCACCTGCTCAAACACCCCCCCCACAACCCCCCCCCCCCCTCCCTCCCCCTCCTCCGTACGGCGGTGCTGGGAGCCCCTGAGGGCCAGGCTGCGCGGCTGCCTCCATCTCTACACCAGTTATCGTCTCTGGCCCGGCTCCGCTCCACCCCCCCTCCCAAACCCCTTTCCACATTAATCGCTGCGAAAACAAATAGCTGTCAAATGTTTGGAAAAGAGCCGCTGTTTGCATCAGGGCCTAACTCAATAATTTTTACAAGCTATCCAGTTGTGATTAGGACGGAGAGAATTGAATTTATGTGGCATTGATAATATTAATATTAGCCTAATTTACTATGTTGTTTGAACTTGAACAGCACTGTGTACCTTCTACACAACACTAACCAGCCGGCACTGGAACTGAGCTCTCAGCCGTCTCTATCTCTCTGCCCCCCCCCCCCCCCCCCCCCCCCCCCTCTCAGTTCATGACTACTGCACACAATTCATCAGCTGGTAGATATCTAATCCCCTCTGGCTCGGCTCACTTCCTGAAGTCGGAGAAGGAACTTTACACTGGTGGCAAGAATTCCTATGAATACTTGATGACTTCTACAGAAAGGAGGACTGTTTCATCCCACTTTGAAAGTGACATTCACAGAGAGGAACGGGCAAACTTCAGAACATAATTATCCACACAGATGAACGATGATAAAACGCGTCTTTTATTGAATCGGGGTAAACAGCAGTACAGCGGGTCATGACCTCAGGTGATATGGAGCCCAAATAAGCCCTGTGTGAAGAAGTCCCTTTTTACCTTGGAGCCTTAATCACCAAAGGTCAACATTTTAGTGTCCTCTGACCCAGAAATGCAGCAGATCAGCCCAACAATGCTCAGTCTTGGATGAGTGAGTGCTGATCTGAGCAATTACAGTAACACACACTCAGTGACCCAAGCACCTGAGCCATGAGGGGACCACCCAAACCCTCCAGAGATTCTCAGGCCCTCTTTGGTGCTCAGATCACACTTCGCTGGGATCTCCTCCTGACTCAGCCTTTGTGGTTGGCAGTCAGAATATGAAAAGGTGGTCATGTGTCTCTTTTAGGTTATTTTTTTTTACACTAAACCAACAACAAGATGTCAGAAAAATCCATTCTTTCTTACCTAATTGGCTGTTTGGATTGAACTGAGCCATTTTTAATTCATGCCCTTTGATCAAAGCTTACACGATCAAAATGTTGGTTTCTACTGAAATGTATTCTAGACACACTTGTGCTTGAGTCATGTCGGACACTAAAAACTGAATTAGTAATAACTTATGGAAGTTTTTTTTTACCTTAATGAATAATGTATAAACTTCTCCCTGCACAGATGTACATTGAGTACCAGAACTGGAAGTTTCTGGTACACCGGCATCATGGCCGTTTCTACCTTTAGGGAGATGAAGCTCGGCCTTTGTGTGTTCCCATCATGCAGTGCAACTGCAGAGCTCGTGTCTGCACCCTGGTTGTTGACAGTTTCCCTTTAAAACAACACCAGAGTGGATTCTTGTGCACAAGAGCAGCTGCAGGACTTATATATTTGGCACAAGCAAAACATATTTTTAATGTTAGCAGAGATATAATTACAGTTATTTTAATTATAACATGAATTTATGAACAATTGGTGTTTAAAAACAAAGGGAATTCTAATTTGATGAACATTGAAAATAAAAATACAAAATGCACATTTCCCACATTTTTAGGAGCCTACAAGCAGTCTTCCACTGCTTGTAGTCTGTGTGATGATGCATCACCTTGAAGGTGCATCTTCTCATCAAAGCTCATTTATCCTTGGACGGAGAACAGCGAGCGTTCCGGGAGTCATTAGCTGAAATGTCGACCCAGTCTGGCTGACCGGTAGTCCGCCCTGAGCTGGACAAAGGCGTGCAGAAGGTTCCGGTCCAGGTTGGTGAGCTGCTCCCCCGAGCAGACTTGCTTCAGGTTGTCGGGAGCAACCACCAGCAGGTTACAGAGGGCGTGGAGTGTGTCGAAGAGCTGCAGCACCAGAGGGACCTGAGGACGGAGACGTTACAGCAGATGCATTAAACTACAGGTGAAGTGAGCCAAGCCGCGTTCAAAGTTCCTCTCTCACCCTGAAGTCCTTGGCGCATCGTCGGTACTCGGCCACGTCGCAGATGGCCAACATGCCCCCCATGGAGCTGTAGCTGTACTGCTGTAAATGCTCGTGGATGAGTCTGTGAAAGCGCACCCCCAGCTCCGTCAGCACCGTGTCCACGTTTTTCCCATCCATGGATTTCCGCACGTGCTCCACCTGCCGACTGACGTAGGCACACACCTTGGAGCAGGCCTGCCGAAGGAACCAGGAGAATGGTTTGTATCATCAACAAATGTTTATCTTAAAACGATTCATTTTATTTATGGGGCGAGTCTCTCACTGAAGTGCACTGGATCATGACATTGTTCTCATCCTCAGGCCTGAAGTCCGTTTTCTTCTGCTCAGTGGTCAGGACGTGCTTCATCTGCCCCACCATGCAGTTCAGTGTTCTGTGTGACAGAAACGCAGATCAGAAGGTTTCCATTTACTCATGGAAACAGATTTTACACTATAAACACATCAACCTGTCGATTCCCGTGTCCAGTTTCACCTCCATCTGCTCGATCACTTCTTTCTTCTTGTGCAAACACTCCGCCAGCTTTGGGGAAGAGCTGTAGACGAGAGTGAATTCAAAGGCTAACCCCCTAATGAAAGCACTGCTCAAAAGTTAAGCATCACTTAGAAACTTCACTGTTTTTCATGGAAACACATAAAAGGGTCCTATAGTCGTGTTTATGTGCGTTTCCATGGAAAACAAAAACATTTCTTGGGTATTTGCTAAAGAATAAAGTACACAAAAACTAGAATGCTGGCTTGTATCCGACCTTATTAAAGGCATCAGCTGGTCATTAAACTGCTTGTCAAACAAATGGAAGATGGAGTTCGCCTGCTGAACCACGTCCAGGAAGTACAGGTTGGCATTCTTGGCATCAGATGAAGGAATCGCTGCAGATCAAACAGACGTGAGACCAGTCAGATCAAAATGTAGATGAAAGCATCATTTTTATCATTTACAGTAGGTGGACTCTTAAAAAAAATGTTCATTTTGAGAAATGATCTGGAAAGACCAGACGGACACATTCTGTTGTCACTTAGACGTTCGTACCTGCGAGGCCGATCTCCAGGGCGTAGTCGATGTGCTCCACACACAGATGTTCCACCAGCAGGAGGAAAATCGAGAAGGCGTTTTTGGGCAAATCAGAAGGATCTGAAAGCTGTTAAATAAAAAAAATAAAAAATAAACATTTTTCCTTGAGATGCTCTCCACCAACGACCAATGAATCAAATATTATCTCAAAAAATAAAGTTTTAACCGCCTCTGAAGCACACAGTCCTGAAAAGACCTTATCCCCCTTCTAAATGATTGGATCATAACCCATCCATCATTGATCTGCACAGAACACTGTGTGTGCAGGACATGCTCGCACTCGGTGGAGCAGCCGAACAGGAAGAGAAGCTAGCTAAAGCTAGCTGCTTTGGTGTCATGGACGAAATGTCCTGTTCCGTTTGCAAGTCTCATTTGTTTTACACATCCTGTTTAGAGTCTGGTTCTGTTCCTGTTGGGAAACGTTTAGGTGATGGAGGTTTTGTTTTGGGAATGAAGAGAAAAGTCTCAACTCTGCGTGGGAACGAGTGAGTGTGTGAGTTTATGTGTGCTAGGGCTGGGCGATGTGGCCTAAAATCAATGTCACGATATACCGAGGATTTCACCTCGATAACGATAAATGTTCGATTTATTGCCTAGCCCTAATGTGTGCACTTCACCCTGAGCAGGCGGAAAGGACAGAGTTCAGTTCGTGTTCTAGAAGTTTTGTTTGTGCTGGTGGCAAAGAACCGTAGTGGTTTTGAATTTTAGAATAAACCAAGAAAGCTGAAAACTGGATTGTTTTTCACCAAAAAAAAAACACCAAACGCCACAAAAGCTAGCATTCTAGTTTGGCAGAGGGGACACGTGGGAGGAGGTCTGCTTCGGAGTTGGATCTGAACATTTTGACCTTAGCAGCTCAGCAAACCTGCGTGTGTGTGTGTGTGTGTGTGTGTGTGTGTGTGTGTGTGTGTGTGTGTGTGTGTGTCACAAGCAGATGTTTTACCATTTTCTGACACCATCAGATTCTGTAACTCTAGGGGGGAGTTTGAAGAAAGGGATTGGTACTTAGATTTTTTGTTGTAGCTTGCTTGAATGCATTTTTCCAACAACACATAATCCATCTTTAAAGGCATACTATGCAACATTTTCCTTATTCTACATAACTCTCTCGAGCCAGTATGTGCTAAAATGACCCTTTACAGTGTTAATGAAATGCCACTAAGACCTCCACCGCCCTCTGTGGCCAGAATATCACACTTGCAACTTCAGAGTGCCGGTCCAGTCTCTGCTGAACTTAGTAAAGGGGAGCTGACATGCCTTGCACTGCAGTCTGCTTCCAACACGTTTCCTGT